GGTGGAGGGGGTGAAGGGAGGGCTAGGAATGGGAAAAAAATACGAACCAAGATGCATTATGTAAAGGTACAATTCCCAGTGAGAAATGTAATTGTGTTGTATACCTACAATGTACCAATAAAAGAATTTAATACAAAAAAAAAACAAAAAACAAAACAGGAGTTTGAGATTTAGGTAAACAAGGCCTCTGATGTTGAACAAGACACAAGGGCCAGAGAAGGGTGACCTGGATAGACAGATGCAAATCTGACCCTATACCTGGCTGGAAAGGAGAAGACTGGGCCAAGCCTCCCTTTTGTGAAGAGCACAGTCCAACCTACACAGGCCTGTTAGGCTTCAGGCCATTTACTTAAAGATGACTTTCCTTAGTCCCCATTCATAACCCCTGGAAGCTTTGTCATTGTTTCTTGAGGCACTGTTCCTTCCTGGCAGCAAACTATGGCTGGCTGCAGGCTGACACTGGGCAGACCTAGTGAAAAAGGCAGCAGTGTGTGAGATTAGAACCACTTCCAGGTCAGAGGTAGAAGGAAGGCAGGGTGGCAGACAGAGAGACAGAGAGCTCGAGAGGAAGATTAAGAAGGAAAGATACAGTGTGCATAGGGAAAGGGAGTGGACAATGAAAGAAATGGGAGGGAGAGGCAGGGAGGAGAGGGAAAGGAAGAAGAGGGAGAGGAGGAGATGAAAAGGAAAGAGTCTGATTTTCAATAAAGTCTTTTGGAGCAAGTTCCTTGTGAATATTCTAGAAGGAACTGGCTAGACTCACTGGAGTTAATTCACATTAAATAATAAGCTAATGATCGTGGTTATTTGAAGGAAATATACCTTTTTATATGTTCTAATCACAGAGCTTCATTACTGCCAAGAGCTTCAGCATATGATTCCAGAATGTACTATGATGGGGAGACAAAAATTACATTAATCACACACACACGCACGCACGCATGCACGCACACACATGCAGGCCAAGTGATACTCAGTGTGGGTTCCCTTTTCAGCTCTTGTATTTTTTATGTAATTTTTTTGTTTTCTATGCCAAAATACATATTTATACTAACAGTCATTTGTCTTCTTGAATTAATTTGTTTAAAATGAAAAGGTGCCCAACATTTTATACCACACATCATTCTGTGCTTACTAACATTACAATACTGCAAACTCCAAAGACAAGCAGCTGCTTTAAAAACTACCTATATAAATGACTTCACTTTAACATGCTCCTTATTCATGTAGCACACTGACATTATTTACACAGTTGAGTTTTATCCCTTAAAAAAGCTTATCAGCCAGGCATGGTGGCCTGTAATCCCAGCACTCTAGAAACTGAGGCAGGAGAATCTCCATGAGTTCAAGGCCAGCCTGAACTACACAGCAAGACCCTGTCTCAAAAAGCAAACAAACAAACAAGGGGCTAAGGATTTAGCTCAATGGCACTGTGCCTGCCTCACAACAACAAGGTCCTGAGTTCAATCCCCGGTACCGGGAAAAAAACTCTAGCAAACAAACAAAACTGCAACAAAAAGCAAAACCAAAAAAAAGCCTATCAAAACTCAGGCCTTTAATATTATTGATATTACATACATAATAGAGCTAGAGGGGGGCGGGGATTTTAGCTCAGTGGTTCCAGCGCCTGCCTCGCAAGCGCAATGTCCTGAGTTCGATCCCTGGTACAAAAAAAAAAAATTAAAGTCAGCATAATAGAGCTAGATTATTTTTCATATTTTCATACTCTGATCCTCTAGATCTTGTGCTGAACTAAATCCAAGATCCAACCAATCAAAAATATAATTTGAGCGCACTGTAGAAAGTTTTATAACACCGGTAAGAAACGTCCTCCTTCTTGGATCTCTGGTGACAAAGCTTGGCAGCCCTCCAAGGTGGCACGGGGAGTCCACAATGTTCTGAGAGCAGTGTACATCTCCTGTCCTGCCTTGGCCTACTTTCTGAAGGATTGCTCAGTCTGAGCTTGGATCCACTGGCTCATGCATCAGAGCCACCACTTGCCCTGTGGGTGGGCTTTGCCATTCACATCAGGACCCCCAGGCCAATCTGGGCCTCTCTGTGGGTGCCTCCATGAGCTCAGCCAGGGTGAGTAAGGCTGAGCAGACCTGAGCTGCAGGCTGGGCACTGATCAAGAGTCTTCTCTGAGAATACTCTGGCCCACACTGGGCTCTAAAACCCATACCTGGGACTTCCTGAGTGCTCCCATATGCATGCCTGAGATGAGCCCCTCTCCAGAGCATGCCTGGCTGCTGAGGAATCCCAGGGCTTCCTGAAGAGTTTCTGTGGGTTCCACACCACCTGGAGGCAGACCCTGGCCCAGCCTTTTTGGGAAGGTGGGAGACCAGCTTCTGGAAGCTCCTTAGCAAATCCAGGTGGGTCCCAGGGTTATCAGAGAACCAGAGATCCTATCCACTGCCACTGCTCTCTGTGGGTTCATATCCCCCAACTCCTTCTGTTTCCACTAAAGCACCCCAGACCTCTACACAGAGAGTCAAGGGGGCTCTTTTCCCTCTGGCGACAGTCCCTGCTGAATGCGATCTATCCTCAGCACCCTAATGAGTGTAAGGCTGCTCACCTGAGAGCACACAGCCAGTCTGATCTTCACCTGTGAAGATTCCTGGTAGAGCCAACACTGGGCCTTCTTGGTGACCCGAGTGGGGACCACGCTCCTGCCCCTCCTCCATGCTCTCCCCATCTTACCTCTCATCTCCGTGGCCGAGGAGCCGTTGGACCAGGCCGTCCACTTGTTCCGGTGCTTGCTGATCTCCTGCACACGGCAGACATACTGGCCCTGGTCGGCTGGCCGCAGTGTCAACACTGAGAGCCTGTATAGAGCCCCATGCTGCTCTTCCAGCAGCAGCAGCCTCCGGCGGTGTGCACTTCGGCTGAAGTTCCCATAGTACTGCACAGCCCGCAACTTAGTCATCTTCACCATCAAGGCCTCCGTGCTGTCAGTGCCAGCGAAAAACCAGCGCACAGCCAGCAGGCTGTCCTTGAGCCTTTTCTGGGACACGTGGCACAGGAGACTGGCATTGTCCCCCTCCAGGTAGTCAACCACAGGTCCCGGGGACACAGTGACATTGAGAGCCCCACAGACCTCTGCAGAAGAAAAGGAAAGAGGAAATGGTGAGTAAAGGGCACAGCCTCTCCACAGGGCCAACAGGCACAGCCAAGGGCCTTAAAGACAGGGCCTTAAAGCTCTGGTAGCTCTGTGCCTGTGTGGCTGGAGCAGGTGGCCCCATGCCTTCTGGTCATCCCCCACCTTCCTGCTGGTCAGAGGAGGGCTCTTCTGGGGGACATCAGGGCTCCACACTCTCAGCTCTGGGTGATCCCTTTCCTGCAACTGCCAAACACTGACCACCTGGTCAGATATTTTTCAGAAAACTATAACTAGTTACTGCCATTTAAAATTCAAATTCATCAGACTCCACATAAGAATGTGGAGAGCTGGACTCTCTTGAGAACGTCTGGCCCACAGCCATGTATGCAACCAGCACTCCCAGGGCCTGCAAACATCAGTGTGGGCAGTGCTGGGTCAGGCTGCCCTTGCTGATGGCCTGTCTGCCACAGCACTGAGCCTGCCTTTCCCTTCTTAACTCCAGCCAGGACAGATGCTCAGGAGGGGGTCAGCGGGTGCTAAGCCAGCACCTTGAGCTGGAGCAGCAGGAGTGATTCAGGGTCTTCCTCAGGCTCAGCCTGGGTTCTCAGAGTTGAAGCGCAGGAATAGAGGCACCTCAGAGACAGGAGGGAAGAGGGACTATCCCAGTGCTCCAAAAGATGCTACAAATTTTTGGGCCCCACCCACTATTCCTGTCCTTTGGTTTTCTTAGAAACCATCCGAGGCTACCCACTCTGGCTGCTGTTCTGCCCTTGAGCTGACCTTTGGTTGAGCCCTCCCAACCCATGTGGCCATCCAGAACAGCAGACCTCAGAGAAGCCAAGTGCTGTGACCTTTCTCAGGAGCCACTGTTCAGGGTGGGCAGTGGCCACACTGCCCTGGGGCTCACAGGTACACCCTCCTATGGTTTGAATGTGTCCCTGAAACATCCCTATGTTGGAAAGTTAATCCCCAAAGCTGTAGGTAAATGGTGTTCGGAGTGAGAGAGCCTTTGGGATTAGATGGGGCTAGGAGTGTGGCCCCAGGATGGCATTAATGGGTTTGTAAGGAGAGGAAGAGAGCCCTGGGGTAGCCAAAGGCACTTCTATTCTTTATAAATTATAAGGTCTCAGGTGCTGTGTTATAGCAACAGAAAACCAACTAAGAAACTCTGGCAGACAGAGCCAAAAAAGTAGTATGGTGCGGAATGCTGGAGACTCCTGCTGTCCAAGCTAAGCTTTCCCCCCACCAGGTCCCATGTCCCCAGACCCCTACAGCCCAGGGTACCACTCCAGGAAGCACTGTTCCCTGCCCAACAACCACAGCAAAAGGTATCTCCAGGGCCATTCCAAGCCACAGCTTCAGACCCCCAACATCTCCTTCTGGTCACAGGAGGGAGTTTGGGCCCCAGATATCAGAGTCACCAAAAGCCTTGTCCCCTGGTCAGTGCTTCAATCAAGCAAAGATGAAGAAGGAAAATGAGATGGAGAAAGATTTGAACATTTGACAAAGAGGATGTGGGTCACTGAGGTGCCATGTGGCTGTGCTGAGCTTGTCACAGAAAAAGCACTCTTCATTGTAAAGAGCTGGCAATAGGTCTTGGCCTGCTTTCTGTGGCTAAGAACACAATACTACAGACTGAACAGGTTAGAAAGAAAAGAGGTATATGGTTTTGGTCCAAGTACAAGGGGCCACAGAGCCCTGGTGGCACAGGCATCATGTGACCAAGGACCAGCGCTTCAGAGACCTTGGCCCACTGGCTTTTGTTGCAGACACACCCTTGTGACAGCTCATTAGCCTATGAATCCATTAACTGGATAAGTGGATTAATCCATGCAGGATGGAGCCCTGATCACCTCTGAAAGTCCTGCCTCTTGATGGAAATTAAACCTCAGCTGAGCCTCGGAGGGGATAAGCTGTTCAGAGCATAGCAGTCACTCTCTTCTACTGCTTCCACTGCAGATTTCACACACCAAAGGCCTTTCTCCTTCTGAGGTCAGGGCCAGTTTTCTTTCCATCTCCTCATCTCTTAGGAGCCAGAACAACCCAACAACCTTGCCTGACTGGCACCCAGGAAGCGCCTCTGTCACTAAGGTAATATTCACGGGGTGGGGGGGGGAGCGGCATCTTTAGGGGCCAATGCTCAGCATGCCACACCATGACAGCAGAAGGGACAAAAGTGAAGAGGAAACCAGGCCAATGCTCACCTGGACCCTAAGAACCTGGGAGATAGGAGGGAGGTCCCCCGTGTCCACAGTGATGATGGACAAAGCCAACCCAAGGAGACAGCTGGAAACACAGATAACAGGAGCCAAGGTGTCCTGTGCTAATCCCTGGCAACCTGCGAATGTCACCTCCTCTGACAAAAAGCACTTTATAGACACAACTAAATGCATGTTTCTGGACTGCAGGGAGTGTCCTGCAGCTGGTGCCAGCTCCTCCAGAACAGTCCCTTTGCTATCAGAAGTCACTAGCATAGGGAGAGAGATGGGGAGTCAGCCTCCATCTTCCTTGTGTCTTGCCCACCTGGCAGGCTCTCCTGCTGCCAGCTAAGGCCCCACAGTGGGACTCCCTGGAGAGCAAGGCACCAGTAGGACCCCTGGCTGACCCCACCCCAGCAGCCACCAGGGGCAGACAGCAGAGGCCCCGAAGCTGACTTCCAGAACCCAAGGCCAGCCACACCCACCTGAGAGTTTCCACTGGGGCCCAGGGAGCTGGGAAAGCAGGAAGGGGACACCAAGGGTGGGAGGACAGTGAGTGCCCCAGGCTCCTGCCATTCACACTGTGTGAAGAAGGGCTTATTTATAGTGACTGCAACCAGGACAATGTTCCAAGTGCAGCAGCAGCCCTGGAGAGGCCAGTTCTGTTGCCCCCAGGGAGGGCCAGACAGACAGAGGGACAAGGCCAGCTTCCAGGACACAGCCTGCTTTCTCTCTTGCAGCACCTTCACCTTGGCCTTCATTCTGCCTTCTTTTCTCTGACAAATGGCTGTGGCACCTGTTTCTTCCATCACAGTGCAAAGACCCTCATTATGTGTCCCTGCCCCCAGATTCCTGTGTGGAAATCCTAATCCCAGCACTCTGTGTGTGATTGTATTTGGAGATGGGGCTTTTAAAGAGGAGGCCGAGGTCCCAAAGGTGGACCCTGCTCCAACATGACCTTAAGAAGAGATCAGCACAGAGCCTTTGCAGAGAGGAGATGGTCAGTGTCATCAGCAAGCCAAGGACAGAGGCCCCAGAGAAACACCATGTCTGACACCTTGACCCCAGGCTTCTGGTCTCCAGAACTATGTGTAAGTAAATTGTTGTTGCTTAAACCTCCACCTGTGGTGTTAGTCTCCCTAGCAAACAGATACAACCTGTTGGCCAAGACTGTAATGTTCAGCAAAAATGAACCAGACACACAGCTTAAATATTGTATGGTTTTCCTTATATGGGAAACCCAAAGTACGAACAAATTAAAGAGCAAAATAAAAGATAGGCAGTAGGAAACAGGGAGATAGATCTTTTGCAAAAGGGAAGGGGAGCAAGATATGGAGAAGGGGGAGGAGAGAGGGGAAGGGAAGGGATGTAAAAGGAAGTAAGATGTGTTATGTACATGCATCAGCTCCCCACAAGAAATGTAAACATTATTTACTGCAAAAATGCACTGATAAAAAATTTTAAAATATTCACACTCACCAGCTCCAGTATTCACATCCACCTTCAACACAAGGGATTTGGGATTGAGGCAGAGATGGCAGGGTCCCTGACCCCAGCTAGAAAGCTCAGCTGGAGGTCACAGGTTTCAAGGAGTCCCCTGGCCAAGGCTGTCCCCAGCACTGAGCTGGCAAAGGGAGAGGCCTGGCCTGGATGTAGGTGGCTTCATGCGCTGGGATCTTGAGAGGGAAGAGGTGCCGGAGGGCCAGGCTGGCAAAAGTGAGCTCAGCAGGATGCTCATTTCAGTGCCAGCATGGGGGGAGGGTGGGCAGCTTCTGCCCCTTGGTTCATCCATGGTGCAGAACAGAGAAAATGGCAGTGGAAAGAAGGATGACAAGAAAGCATCCCCCAGGGACAGAGGCAGGTTGGTGAGAGCTCAGGGCTACCCTTCTAACCAGCTTGCTAACAGAGCTTCCCTGGCTAACAGCAAGATAGGACAGGGTGGGTAACCCTGCTCTCCTCCACCCGGGAGGGCTGATTCTCCTCTCCTAGCTAGGAAGGACAATTGTTTAAGTCCCACCAGCCTGAAGAATTTAAGAGTTTGCTCTGTGACCTGCTTTGCAGAGAACTTAAGTAGGAGCTAGGATCCCACACATGACACCTTCCCACTTGGAATCTTTGCCTCTTCCTTCTGCCCCATGTGCCAGGCACAGTGTGGCCTTCTGGAGCTAAGAAGCCAGTGAGTAAGGTGGCCACTCACCAGGAAAGATGCAGGAGGATATTCCTATATTGCCAAGGGCTACAGAGAAAATGCAAAGGGTTTAAGAAAATCATGGCACAATCTTGATCCAAAGTTCAAGGTAAGAGACTTGAGAATGAACCAGTGAGCTGAAGGTTGCACTGGAGTTAATGACATACAACTCAAGCAGCAGCAAAAAGTGACCTTCCTGGCAAAAGGTCCTAGCTGTGCAAAGGCTCTGCAACAGGAGGAACATGGTGCTGACCAGAAATTGAAAAATTTTCTGTTCCTTGGTGAGCTGCACACCACTGGGGCCCAGAGAGCCACCTCTGCCTGCACGTGGGCCTTGAGAGTGGACTCTCTGCCCCAACCAAGGACCCATCAGCTATTTCTTTAAGAAAAAGGTGACAACACAGGCAGGGAAGAGACTGAGCCAAACAGAGGGAGGGATTCTTGCTGCCACTATCCCATTCCTTCAATGAGTTCTGATACTCTAGTGTCCCAGGTACCCCTTGGGATGGCACTGGAATGCTCATGGGCCCAAGTCTTCCAAGCTCTCTGAGGAGAAGCAATGAGACTCAGAAGCAGCAGCTTGGGGAGTTGGTGAAGAGACACTAGGTGGACCAACAGAGCTGGGCTGTGAGCCTGGCCCTGTTAGGTAGGAGGCCACAGGAGCCTCAGTTTATTCATTTGGAAAATGGGAAAAGGATATCTTTAATGGTGAGAACAAAGCTCCAGAGAAGAATGACTTTAAAATGCAGATGGAAGTTTACATGTGCTGAGAGCCACAGAGGCAGGAAGAGTAGAAAGTGACTGAGCTGCAGGAACACAAGGCTCCAAGCTTGGAAGGACTCCCACCAGCTTTAATCTTTAACTGTTGATTTCTTGAAATTTTAATAATTTTTTAACAAGGGACCCTGAGTGTTCATTTTGCACGGAATCCCCCGTTCTGCAACCAGTCACCTTGTGAGTGAACTTTAAATGCCTGGGGACTAGAGCTGAGGGCCCAACCCTCTGATTTGCATTTGGCTAATGTCATGAAAAGGATGAAAACAGCTCTAAATCCAGCTGCAAAGGAAGCCTGTGTAGCCAAACTGCACAATGTACTTCTCACATAGAGGCTGAGTTTGGGGGATGACACCCCAGTGACAATCCTCTTGATAGAGACAAGGCACCCACCTTGCCCAAGACACAGATATGGGCATGGCCTGGTCCCTTCTCTTCTGCCTAAAGAGACTCCCCACTCATTTCAGGAGGCAGGAGCCTCTAGGTCCACCAGCAATGCACACTGCCAGTACTCCATCAGCACCAAAGAGACCTGTAGACCATACCCATGACTATGATTCTCAGAATGAAATACAGTGTTACCCAAAACTTCGCAGCACCAGGAGCCTGTGTTTGCCAGACAGAAGCAGAAGCACTGCCAGACCTAACCCATGGGTGATTCATTCATATTAAGCCCATCATCTAAAATTAGCTGTATCCATGACAAACATATCACCTTCTCTAGAGATAGAGGCTACATCTTACACTTGCTGATAGGAACTCCATGCCAAGAACAGTTCTAAGCACTTTACCCCAAGTTATCCTTATACCTTGCTAATCCTCACTTTACAGAAAAGAGGTCTGAGCCACAGAGAGAATAAGCAGCTTGCTTAAGTTGGAATAGTACAGTGGTGGGGCTGGAATTAGAATGTGAGAGAGCTGGCTTGCAAGCCCACTCTTAACTGCAATTCAGGACTGTTGCTTGGTTTTTAGTAAGTATTTTGCCTATTGGCTTTGTTGAGGGACTAGGTGGCCATGCAAGTCCTACTCCAGCCCAAAATGGAGAGGCTGAAGAGGGCAGGGGTAAGAAGTGTGGACTTGGGCATCAAGCTAGTCT